CTGGGGACAGCAGGTGGCCTGGTGGTTGAGGGGCTGGACTCCCACATGGTTGACCGTGGTTCGAGTCCAGGATCTGGCAGCTTGCTTTCTCACTTTCCATTTCTCTCACTCTCTCTGACCAAGTTAAGAAAATAATAACAGTTGCATTGCCGGGGTCCAGCCTCGGCGGGGGTGGGTGGACTCATTGGAGGCGACGCTGGAAAGGAAGACTAAGGTCTTGGTGCCTTTTCATGCACGTCCTAAGCCGGACACTCCCAGAATTTATTCTCTGAGGAGTGACAACTGTTAGGAATCATCGTGCCTTTTTATTGAAAATGTGATACATGCAATTAAACAGGTGAGGGGGTACATGTTCTAATTATCAATTCATAAAGTTTTAACAATAGAAACCATTCAGGGTTTGATTAAGGGCAGGTCTATTAATCATCGATACAGTTCAACAATTGTTTGATTGATGAAAGCAGGTTCCTGGTAACTTCAAGCAGTGCAGTTTCAGGAAACAATTCCAGCAAGCAGAGTTAACTATCAACCTATGTTCAGCAGCAGCCGTCTTATGATTACTAAAAGAAAATCTCAAGCATAGATATTAGTTCTTATGGATTTTCATAAAGAATGATACTTATATAATTCTATAGGGATCTAAAACTTAAGGAATCCTAACATATTTACCTATCCTGAAGGGATGAAGCTATTATTCACTTGGTGAGGGCGGGGACAGTTTTTTCAACTGGCGGTAAAGTGACTAATAAGTTAATGAAAAACTTTAAAATGGGTTTATGGTGTTGTGGATACACTTGCGTAGCCCATGGCATCACTGTTGTATATTTTATTAGAACATTAGTTACCATGGGACGAGAGCGTCCTAGGCCAGTTTCAGACTAGTCCTATTGTATGTAAAAAGGTTATTTATATTAAATGTGTCTTGAAGGGCCTTCCAAAGATCAAGAAGAACTTTAGCACACCCTTTATTGTGCCCAATGAAGCACTGTAATTAACAGTGAGTGGTCAGGGTAAAGGGGAGCGGTCAGGGGACTTTTCAGGAAATCTTACCACACACTCAAGATGTATGAGAGAACTATATAATTCTTTTATAGTAGTATATCAGGGAGTCAGAGGGGGGTCACTTCCCAGCAAGGCTACCACAGTCCCGGAGCGAATAGCAACCGGCCTTGCCAACATGCTAATTGACCCAAGCTTGTTCCAAGGTGTGTGTGTGTGTGTGTGGGGGGGGTGGTGTACAGTAGCGGCCTTGCCAATGTACTGAACCAACTGGAAGCTGTGCTCAAAGGTCAAAGGGCTCAGATGGGTCCTAGAGCCCCGCCAGGTCTGACTCCTCCATTGCATGAAGTCATCTTGACTCTAGTTAGCAAAGCTATCCACCAACATAAGTTTCCCATTGGGCACTCTATACCTGGAAAAGGATGACTTACCTATTCCGCTTCAAGTCACCCTTAACTGCTATGAAAAGTGTAACATATTACCAAGGATTCATGATGTCTTGTGTAAACTCATAGAAAAAGGTGAGACTGATCTAATTCAGAAAGCAATGGACTTTGTGAGCCATGAACAGGTGAAATGATGATGCTTTATGATCTCTTTTTTGTCTTCCTACAAACAGGAAATTATAAAGAGACCAAGAAGATCATTGAAAGTCCTGAAGGTGATAGAGACTAAATGTAGTATAGTGTGCTAAAAAGTATACAAAGTAACAGTGCAAAAAGTTGATGCTGTCTGGAATAAAATGAAAGAAAACATTATTCTTCATGAGAAGACATTAAGATTATTTATGAAAATTTTAAGAAAAAGTAATCAGAAAGTTCCATTTGATGTACCTGAGTTGTGTATGAAGATGAAAAACATTCTCTGAATTCCCCATCACCCTCACCTGTAGAAATGAACTTCCAGAAATATCTGTTAAATGCCTGCCAATTGAAGAAAACTAAAGATATATATATATATATATATGTATTTTTTCCCCTAAAAGTACAAAAGCAAAAGAGTATATTTAACATTGAAACTTACATCAGCCTTATAAAGTTGCTTCTGTCAAAGGAGTGTTTTACAGAAGCAATGCATGGGAAAGATGCTGCTGAGACCAACATCAAGGGTTCACACTGAACGATGCCGCCAACAGCCTCCTCATCATAACACAAGTTAGGCAGGATTATTTCAAAGAGGCACAAACAACACTGAAAACAGCCTTAGATCTGGTACGGATCCCTTCTTGGATAGCAGTGGCTCGCCTTATCCAGGCATTTGCCTCCAAGGGCGATGTACAAAGCATAGAAACAATTCAGACAATGGTAAATGAACTTGAAGACTCAATTGGACTTTTAAATTTGGTTTTCATCAGTACCATTATTTGGCACCGATTAAGAACAATGACATAGATGTCCCATAGAAAACATTGAAAATATACTTACTTCAGGGACTCAGACCACAAAACCCTGGTTCTGTGGCTTGGCCTGCTTTTTCAGAAAGTAATAGAGGAGCAGCTAGAACCAGTAGTGGAAAAGTTGCACACCATGGCAGAGATTGGCCAGTCAGTTTGCAATTTTTAAACCCATCATTGATCGCTTCCTTCAGTTGTGGATTCAAGCAAGACAAGACGATGCCAAAGCCCTCTTACAGAGATGTGCACAATTGCCGAATAAACCTGTTTTGTTGGTGTTCTGTGCTAGGGGTTCTTAAAAGCCAGGGAAGGAGGCAGCAACTCTGAGACCCTTATTAGAATTGATTCCTGAGGGACCAGCAGTTAGTGTAATGGTTATGTCACTGGAATCCCATGTAGTTGTACTTGGTTCGAGTCCCGGATCCAGTGGTTTAAAACTCACGCTGGGGGAGTGTGTGTGCATGCCAAAGATCCCAAGAGGAGAATGGAGGAGAAGGGATTGCAGCATGGCCATCCCCCCTGGGGGGGTGATTTCTCGCTTTCTGTCTTTCTGTCTTTCTGGTGAGTGCATGTGCCCTATAGCAAAAACTTCTCAAAAAAAATAAATAAATAAAAAAGAAAAGAAAAGAAAAAAGAATTGATTCCTGAATTAACTGGAAAGGAAGACACATACACCTCTATCATGAAAAGCTATGTCTTAGGGGCCAGCAGGTTGCGTGGTGGTTGAGGGCGCTGGACTCCCACATCGCCAACCACGGTTCAAGTACTGGGCCTGGAGGCTTGCTTTCTCTTTCTCTCTCTCACTCTGTCCCTCCTTGGTCAACTTAAAATAAATAAAGTTAAATAAAATAATTCTAAAAAAAAAAAAAGAAAGAAAAGCTATGTCTTGGACAGAGATGTCCCATCTGCAGAAGCACTGTATGAAAATTTGACTGAAAAAAATATAAAATTGAATTTGTTTCTGAAGCATTATGCAGTTTTTTTTTTTTTTTTTGAGAGGTTTTCGCTATAGGGCGTGTGCGCTCGCCAGACAGAGACATAGAGACAGAAAGCTAGAAATCACCTCCCAGGGGGGACGGTCACACCGCAATCCCTTCTCCTCCATTCTCCTCTCTGGATCTTGGGCACGCACGCACACGTGCCTGGCGTGAGTTCTAAGCCACCGGGTCCAGGACGCGAACCGCGGTCGACTACGTGGGAGTCCAGAGACATAGCCATTACACTAACTGCTGGTTCCCGCATTATGCAGTTTTGCTGAAGAATGCTGGAGAGCCTGTAACTTTCACTGAGACCCCTGTAAGCTTTGAATTTTATGGAAACCAGTTAAAAGAAGCAAGGGAAAATGCTTTGTGAAACAAGCAGTCAGTACTTTGTTTTGTATATGTGAATCTGTGTCTAAATGTTATTTTTAAAATTATTTGAGAGGGGAGCTGGCAGGTGGCATGGTGGTTAAGGTTCTGGACACCCACATGGCTGACCGTGGTTCAAGTCCTGGGCCTGGTGGCTTGTTTTCTCACTTTCCCTCTCTCTTTGTGTGTCACTGGTCAAATTAAAAAATAAGCAAATAAATAAAATTAAATAAAATTAAATAATTCTTTAAAAATTAAAAATTAAAAAAACAAAACAAAACAAAATAATAATAATAAAAAGAGTTGTTTGGTAACTTGAGCATGTAGAACATTACCCATGAATACCTGATCACCCTTTTTAGGAGCAATGGCAAGGCTTAATGATCCCCATTAAATGAGTTCTTTGACCCTTCCTGCAAGACTCCATGGTGGATGAACCAGAAAAACACTGTTTCAGGTATAGCTATAAGCCTGAAGGAACTTATGTTCCTGAAGCACTTGCTAAGCTTCTAGGACTGTGGACTGTGACTGTTCCTTAACTTCTCCCCACCCCCAGTCATTATCTTGCTAAATTGGAAATACTGTAAACTTATTCTCCCTCTCTGTGCTGGATATTCTCAAGTTTTTTTTTTTTTAATTACAAATAATGGAATTTTTACGTTCTTGTCATAGGGCGTGTGCACTCACCAGAGAGACAGAGAGAGGGCACGTGAGAAATCACCTCCCTGAGGGATAGCTACACCACGATCTCTTCTCCTCCGTTCTCCCCTCAGAATTTTGGGTGGTACACATACACATGAGCACAGAATGTTTTTCAAAACACCGGGTCCAGAACTCAAACTGCAGAGCTGGCCATGTGGGGTCCAGCACCTTAACCACCAGCCACATAGTGACCCTTGATTTGTTCTTACACATTTGGTAAAACTTTGTTCTCTAGTGGGGGGGGTCTCTGGGTTAGAGGAAAATATGTGCTACTGTAGTTCTCTTTTAGAAATTTGTCTTCAGGTGAAAAGAGTAGGAAACATAAAAGGAGTTAAGACAAGTGCAGTCAGAGAGATAGGAGAACCCAGAAAGAGAGAAATCTACAGAAACAAGTGCTTGAGAACCTGGAAAACTTCAAATAAAACGTATCCATTTGGCTATTTCTCAAGAGCGCTTAATTCCCACTGCAGCGTTGAAAACTTTCCATTTATTCAGAATACTTGAAACGAGAAGCCCCCCTAGGGACTTCTAGCAATGAGCGCTCAAATTTGGTCTGCACTAAGTAGTGTCTTTAATCATCTCGATGGTAAAAGTGTCAAATTTCTCAAACCCCTGCACAGAAGAGTGCTGTGATTCTTCAAGGCGGTTTACTCATCTGTCAAATAACGGAGGTGGTTCCCCGAGCTCATCACCATTCAGATTCCAGCCCAGGTTGCACGTCCTTAGGCGTAGGCAGCCAATTGGGCCCTCCGCCCGTCGTGCATGCTGGGAGTTGTAGTTTCGGGTTCTTTTTTGCCGACTACCAGCTCCGTAGGAGCCGCTGAAGGACGGTTGCTGGTATCATTAGTAAGCGGCAAGTATGGCGGTGGCGCGGGTTGACGGGGCTTTGCCTCCCGGAGAAGGTAAGGCCGTTCCCATCCCGTAGTCCCCAGGTTGGCTCCAAGGAGCTGAACTAGATTGCTGCCTCGTGGAGACCGAAGCCTGGGTTTAGGAGTGCAGCTCTGGACCAGTTCTTTCATGCGGAGCTGCGGGCGGAGGCGCGCTACCCTCTGGGAATTGTAGTCCTGGTGCGCTGCCCGGCTCCCCCGAAGTCGCGACGGGCATCTAGCCCGGGACCACAGCACCCAGAGGGCATAGCGCTCGTTGGCGCCCCAGCTCCCGCGCACTCAGGGTGGCTGGGCGGTGGGTTACCCCCTGTGGCGATCTTTCCTGAACGTTTTCTTCGAGTTCTGAGTGCGCAAGAGAAATGTGCAGGTGCTCTGTCTTTTGCTCCACACATTTTTTCCTTAGTCCTCGCTTCCTAGAACATTCAGGAAGCCGTCCCTCAAACACTGCTCGCTACACTGACTTTGAACTCTTCCTTGGAAGTGGCCGGTAGCCCGCGATAGAATCTGGGGGTGATCCGTAACCCACAGTGCTAGGTCCTCAGTTCTGCAGACCGGATCCTGGAGTCGGGTTTGGTCGTAGCCCAGCAGAACGCGGGGTGTGGGTGCTGCTGTGGCAGGGAGGCAGCTTTGGGACGCTGGACGTGAGCACCTTTTGTTTTGGTTACAGCTGCTAGGCTTGGCAGTAGCCTTCTGGATCCCGGGCAGGGCGAGGGGTCGAGGCCTGTCTCAGCGGCTGAGACCAGGAGCTCAATATGTGGGAGCCCTAAATTCTTGGGGGAGGAGTTGGTGGTTGGTTCTAAGACCAGGAACCTTTGGATCCGTGTGGAAAGGCTGTGCACGTTCCTGGGACGGTGCACAGCTTTCATCATGTTCTTAGGGGGCCCAGGTCTCCTCACATGCCAAACGCCATTAGATAACAGAAAAACGATCAAAACGTTGAAACCCTTCAGTAGAACAATCTGATTTAAAAATTTCCGCAGTCATCCTAATTTGCGTATAGATTTGAAATTGGCAGTTTCTCCGGCCCCACCTCCCTCTGGTTTCTTCTCTTAAGCTCCACCTCTTTAGCCCACTAAGACGGCTGTCAATGTTTAATATTTACAGAGCACTCTCTATAAGCCAGACAATGTTCTGAGTGCTTTTCTCATATTGTCTCACTTTCTGTGTGGAACAATATATAAGGCAGGTATTATCGTCCCCATTTTACAGATCAGGAACGTGAACCTGAAAGAGATCACTAACTTGCTCAAGATGTTACAGTGATTACTAATGGGGCTGAGCACTGCGTATTACCAGAGATCTTAAAAAAAAAAAGTGCATGGAAAAACGAGTATTATGAAAAAAATGCATGAATTTAGAAATATTTTTGCACCAAAGTCAATTTATGTTTTAATTCCGTTTATTTTACAAACTTTTTAAAAATAATTATTTAATTTTATTCATCATCATCATTTTTTTTTTTTTAATTTGACAAGGGAGAAACAGAGAGACAGAGAGAGAAAGTGATAAAGCAAGCCACCAGATTTGGGACTTGAACTCAAGTCTGCTGTGTGAGAGTCCTGTGACTCAACCACTACACCACCTGTCAGCCCCTTCACAAGCCTTTTGAAGTCGTTTTGTCTTTTACTCTCTATGATCAATCTACAAAATAGATGTGTTATTCTATTCTATAGATGAATTAGCTGAACTATAGTCTGACTTTCAAAATAGTTTGGGAGCTTTGGCAAAACTACCCATTAGGTTGAAAGCATGCTGGTCTCGAAGCCAGCAGGTGGTGTGGTGGTTAAAGCGCTGAATCTGACATGACTGACTCTGCAGTTCAAGTCCCAGAAGACCCAGAGGACTGAAAATCATGCTGTGTGTGTGTGCGTGCGCCCAAGATCCCAAGAGGAGAATAGAGGAGAAGGGATTGTGCAGTGTGGCCATCCCAGCATGATTTCTCACTTTCTCTTTCTCTCTGTCTCCAGGGAGTGCCTGCACCTTATGGGGGGAAAAATCTAGGAAGAAAAAGCAGACTGTTCTTTATTAAAAGTTTAGTTCTACTTTAAGGATGTTTTGGGGCCAGCAGGTGGTGTGGTTGTTAAGGCACTGGACTCCCACCTGAGTAACTGCAGTTCGAGTCTCAGACCTGGCAGCATGCTTTCTTACTCTTTCTCTCTCTCAGGTGATTGTACTTGCCCAGTAGTAAATTAAGAAATGAAAAAACAAGTTTTATGGGGACCAGCAATTAGCATAATGGCTATGTCACTGGACTCCCACATAGTTGACTGCGGTTCGCATCCTGTACCCTGTGGCTTAAAACTCACGCTGGGCGCATGTGCATGCGTGCCCAAGATCCCAAGAGGAGAATGGAGGAGAAGGGATTGTAGCGTGGCCATTCCCCCTCGGAGTGATTTCTCACTTTCTCTGTCTCTCTCTGTCTGTCTGGTGAGTGCCTGAACCTCATAGAAAAATCCTCTAAAAAAAAAAACAAACAAGTTTTATGGTGGGACCAGCAGGTGGTGTGGTGGTCAAGATACTGGAGTCCCACATGGGTGACTCCAGTTCAGGTCCCAGACCTGGTGGCTTGAAAAGTCACTCCCCACGCATGTGCATGTGTACCCAGAATCTGAAGGAGGATGGAGGAGAAGGAATTGCAGCATGGCCATCCCCCTGGGGGGGGTGAGTTCTTACTTTGGCAAGTGAGTGCATGTGCCCTATAGTAAAAAACCTAAAAAAAAAAGCCTCAAGGTCAGTCGTGATGGTGCAGTAGCAGGGTAATGCTCTGCAATGTTGTAAGCCACATGGAAGGTTGGAGTTCGGTGACTGGCTCTATGTGCACACACCCATGGTTATGGGAAGACTAGAGGGAAGACCTGTGTGAGATTCTGTTTATGATGCTTGTCTTCTTGTCCTCTCTTTCTCTCTTTTTCTTATGAAAGGAATTAAAGTTAAAATAGTCCAACCAAGCAAGTGAAAATGCTTTCATTTCTTAGCCACAAAACATGGTAATAGTTCACACATTTAAATGGGAAGAATTCAAAGTTTTTCCATAGACTTAAGTAGAACATTGTTAAGTCTACTTGTAATTTGATATTGCTCAAGATTGCTTTAATTTTGTTAAATAATTATTTATTTTAATTTTATTTATTCATTCATTTTAATTTGACCAGATAGAGACATAGAGAGAGAGAGGGAAAGTGAGAAAGCAAGCCACCAGTCTGGGACTCGAACTGCGGTCAGCCATGCAGGAATGTCCAGTCCCTTAACTACCATACCACCTGCTGGCCCCAAGATCGCTTTTAGTTTTAAAATATTGATATTTATTATGCTCTAGTGTTTTCTAATTAGAAATGTATAGAGTTGGTTTTTTTTTTTTTTGAGAGGTTTTTGCTATAGGATGTGTGCGCTCACCAGACAGACAGAGAGAGACAGAGAGACAGAAAGCAAGAAATCACCCCCCAGGGGGGATGGCCATGCCGCAATCCCTTCTCCTCCATTCTCCTCTCGGGATCTTGGGCACGCACGCACATGTGCCTGGCATGAGTTTTAAGCCACCGGGTCCAGGACTCGAACCGTGGTTGACTACATGGGAGTCCAGCGACATAGCCATTATGTTAACTGCTGGTCTCTAGAGTTTTTATTTTTTTTTTATTTTAAAGTTTATTTCTTTCTTTCACAATAAAGAGAGAGAGAGAAAGAGAGAGAGAGATTAAGACACCCCCAGCAGAGTCTTCACACCCTGCTCTACCCCCAGTCTCACCTTGCCTGAACCGCAGGAACAGATACTGTATGAGTTCAGGGACAGATCCAGGATCTTTCCCTGTGAGTCTACTCACATTAATGTTGTGCTCCTATAGTATCAATACAACCACCTGGCCTGAAATGTGTAGAGTGTGTTTTTTTTTTTTTTTTTTTTTTTTAATGGGGTTTTTGTCCCAAGGGGCATGTGCTTACTGGAAAGAGAGGGAAAGTGAGAAATCATCCCCAAGGGAGAATGAAATCCCTTCTCCTCCATTCTGTCCCTGGGACTGTGGGCATGTACGCACATATGCCCGGTGTGATTTTCAAGCTGCCAGGTCTGAGACTTGAACCTTGGTCAGCCATGTGAGATTCCAGCACCTTAATCACTATGCCACCTGCCGGCCCCTGTGTAAAGATTTTTATGAATACAATTCTATTCATATCTTCAGCTGTTGTCTTTGTTTTATTGTGTTTTCTCACAAATTCCTTTTTTTTCCCCCAAGGGTCAGTGGTCAATTGGTCAGGGCAGGGGCTACAGAAATTGGGTCCAAACCTGCCCTGTGAAACTGACATTCACACTTTGATTTTGGATAAAAATCAGATTATTAAATTGGAAAATCTGGAGAAGTGCAGACGGTTAATACAGGTGGGTATTAGTTCTATAGGACATTTATTACTGAACAAAATAAAACAATAAAATAACCTGACAACAAGTAACTCTGCAGACCTGAAAAGCAGTAAGTGTTGCCTTAAATTTTTACTTGACAGTTTCTTATGGAGAGGAACATATATGTGCTACATTTTGACTAAAAAAGAAGGCACTGCTAAAAGAAGAAAACGTTCTATGTTGGCAAAATGTCGTGTTACTAAGATAACCTTTTCCCTCATGATGGGGGGTAGAATTCATTCATTCAAAAGAAGTGTTTTTATTGGGTCCCTCTTATATTTCCGGCACTGTTCTAGGTTTTGACTGAAACAATATACGGAACGTATACTGTTTATGGGGCTTGTGTTCTGGAGTTGTTGCTGTGTTAAAAATGTCTTTGGTAGTAGGAAGAAATCTAATCATATAGCTTTCTCTGCATTTTCTATGGCTTAGAAACAATGGCAACAACGAAAGACTAATAGTTATACTATAGGCTGTTTAGGGAAAAAATATATATGTAAGGGGACTTCAGAAAATTGATGGAAAATGGAATTAAAGCATGAGTTTGTTTTATGCAAAAAAAATTTTGAAGTAGCTTTTTATAATATGCACTTTCCACGAACTTTTTGAAGATCCTGAGTGTGAGATAAATACAAATTGGGTTTGTGTATTTGTAACGCTTATAAAGGTTTGAACAAACCTTTAACCACCATAACGTGAAAGTCCTCTATAGTTCCTAAAAATGGTATGTTTCCTTCCACAGTTGTCAGTGGCTAATAATCGGCTGGTGCGGATGATGGGTGTAGCCAAACTAACCCAACTTCGAGTATTAAATTTGCCTCATAATAGCATTGGCTATGTGGAAGGGCTAAAGGAGCTAGTACATTTGGAATGGCTGAATTTGGCAGGAAATAATCTCAAGGTGAATTTTCTTTTAATTTTTTTTGTTTTTAACTACAATACTATTCTCTGTAAAAGGGAAATATTTACAGTATGGAAATGAGTAGAATAAAAAGATAAAGTACTCACTCCCACTCCCTGGGGATAATCTTGGTTAACAAACACTTAAGAAATCTCACTTAGAGATATATAATAACAGTATATTATTATTTTAGCTGCGAACAAAGAACCAATTATTAGAAAAAGGTAGACCAAACAGTAGAATAGGTTAGGAAGGAGATATACAAGTGAATTAAGCTTTAATGAATATTTAATATGATAATGGGCAATATATTGTTTTAAAGGTCAGGAGATTTTGACTGGCCTGGTAGCACACTGGTTAAGGGAGCCAGGTGCCATATGGCCAGTAGTTTGAATCCTGCCCTGGTGGTTTATATGAAAAACATCTCTCTCCAGTGTGTGCACATGCCTCCTGGCAATTAAAAAAAGTCAGGAGGTCTGAATTCTAATCCTCTATTTCCATCACATGTTAACTGTATAATTTTGGGTAAGTTAATAAATATCTCTGTATCTTATTTTTTGATATACTAGGTGAAGAGATTAGATTAAATAATATTAATAGCCCTTTTTTTTGTAGTTTACTATAGGGCACGTGTGCTTGCTGGAGAGAACCAGAGAGAGGGAAAGTGAGAAATCATCCATCCAAAAACCAGCAGTTAGCGTAATGGCTATGTCGCTGGATTCCCATGTAGTCCACTGCGGTTCGCGTCCCGGACCCGGTGACTTAAAACTCACGCCAGGCGTGTGTGCGTGCATGCCCAAGATCCCAAGAGGAGAATGGAGGAGAAGGGACTGCGACGTGACCACCCCCTCTAGGGGGTGATTTCTCGCTTTCTGTCTCTATATCTCTCTCTGTCTGTCTGGCGAGCGCACGTGCCCTATAGCGAAAACCTCTCCAAAAAAAAAGAGAAATCATCCATCCATTATGCTGTAATCCCCCGCTTGAGATTTTGGGGCATGCACACACATGTGCCTGTCATGTTTTTCAAGCTGCTGGGTCTGAGACTTGAATTGCTAAATTGGCCATGTAGGATCCAGCCACATTAAACTCCGTGCCACCTGCTGGCCCTATAGCTGCTTTTTATTGCACAATTAATTTTTTTTGAAGGTTTTTGCCATAGGATGCAGGTACTCACTGGAGAGAGAGAGAGAGAGAGAATATGAGAGGGAAAGTGAGAAATCACCCCCCACGGAAATGGCCATGCCACAATCCTTTCTCTTCCATTTTTCTCCTCGGATTTTTGGGCATGCAAACACATGCCTGGCGTGATTTTTCAAGCCACCAGTCCTAGTACTTGAACTGCAGTTGCCCATGTGAGAGTCTGTTACCATAACCACTATGCCACCTCTTGGCTCCTGAATTAGTTCATTTTTTTAAATTGCCAGAACATGCATGTGCTTAGCAGAGAGACAAGAAGAGGGAGAGGGAGAGAGCATGCCACAATGGGGCATGGTCACATCACAATCCCATTTCCATTTCTCTACCCTATTGGGATTTGGAGCACACACACAGTTACATCACAATCCCATTTCCATTTCTCTACCCTGTTGGGATTTGGAGTACACACACAGTGTTTTGGTTTTGTTTTTTATTAAGATTTTTGCCAAAGAGTGTATGTGCTCACCTGAGAGAGACGGAGAGAGGGAAAGTGAGAACTTACACCTGGGGCCGGGGGGGATGGTCACATCACAATCCCTTCTCCATTTTCCTCTTGGTATTTTGGGCATGTATGCATATGGGTCTGAAACACGGGCCTGGCATAATTTTCAAGCCACCTAGTCTTGGGTTTAAGCTGCGGTTGGCCATGTGGGAATCTAGCGCCTTAACCACCATGCTTCCTGTTGACCTCTATGTGCAGTATTTTTTCTAAATTGTTTCATTTGACTTTATTTATTTATTTAAATTTGACCAGAGTGGGGGAGAGAGAGAAAGTGTGAAAGCAAGCCAGAAAGCAAGCCATCAGGTCTAGGACTTGAACCATGGTTGGCCATGTAGGAGTCCAGTGCTCTTAACCACGATTCCGCCTGCCAGCCTCTGTGTGCAGTTTTCTAGAGCTGCTGGGTCTGGGATGTGAACCACCCAGCAGGCCATTTTGGATCCAGCTTCGCCTAACCTTTAGGCCATGGGGCTGGCCCAGCAATTAATTTTTTGTATGTACTATTCTAGTTATCTATATTAACTCATCCAATTTCATGACAACCTATCAAGTAATTGTAGTCATTCTGCCACGAGGAAACTGAAGCACAAAGCTGTAAATACCTGCATTGGTGTGAACGGCCTGGAAACGCTCTATACTTAGAGTAATGAAAGTGGAATGTTGTAATGTGCTGATATACTAAATCCTGTTATCCCTGCCTCCCCTTCTACTGCTAAACTCTGCTGCTCTGCTTCTGCTAACAGGGAGAGGAGGGGGGAGACTCAGCTACAGAGAACTAGGGAAGAGTCTTATTTTTTGATGTCGCGTGCATGAAATAATGGGACCCTTTTCTTATGATAGGCCATGGAACAAATCAATAGCTGCACAGCTCTACAGCACCTTGATTTATCAGACAATAGCATACCCCAGATTGGTGACCTATCTAAGTTGGTATTCCTGAAGGTAAATGTGTTTTCTATGTCATTTAAAATTTGTTAAAAGAATTATTTAATTAATTAATTAGTTACTTTTTTTTAGAGGTTTTGTTATAGGAAAAACCTCTCAAAAATAAATAAATAAATAAATAAATAAATAATAAAATAAAATAAAATTTTTTACCAGGATATCAAGAGAAAATGGTCTGATCAATCTCAGATTAACCTACTGTACATGAACAACAATTGTTTTTATTATAGTAAGAATTCTGTTTAGTATACCAAAAATTAAATATGGAACTTTCTGTTGTTAGTTTCTATAACTGGTTTATTTTATGTGAAATTGGTCATTGAAGTTAAGGTAAATTCATGTTTTTTTAAAGAATTGTTTTATTGAACTTTATTTATTTATTTATTTAAATTTGACCAGAGAAAGTGAGAAAGCAAACCACCAGGTCTGGGACTTGAACCATGGTCAGCCATGTGGGAGTCCAGCCCCCTTAACTACCATGCCACCTGCCAGCCTCTGTAAATTCTTATTTGTTAACATCCTCTGAACTTGATAGAACTTTTTCCATGCTCAACCAGACAGTATTAGTAGCTTTAGTTATATAGTGCATAACATATAGGTAAAGTTGAGAATAACCATTGTTTTTTTTTGGAGAGGTTTTTCTATAGGGCACATGCACCTGCCAGAGAGAGAGACAGAAAGTGAGAAATCACCCCTCGGGGGGGGGGATGGCCACGCTGGAATCCCTTCTTCTCCACTCTCCTCTCAGGATCTTGGGCACGCACGTACACGTGCCTGGAGTGAGTTTAAGCCACCGGGTCTGGGACTCAAACTGCAGTCAACTACATGGGAGTCCAGCGACATAGCCATTATGCCAACTAATGGTCCCTTTTCTTTCTTTTTTTCTTAATATTTAGGATTGCTAACTTTTAGTAATATGTATAACTTAATTATAAAAATTAATTTTACTTTAATTAAAAACATATACCACTTTTTATGGAGAGGAATGTATCATGCAATTAAATAAGTAGCAGTTAGAAGCACAGCTTTAAAAAACATTATAGGGCTTTTAAAATATTATTGGTTCACGGGACCAGCACTTAGTGTAATGGCTATGTCACTGGACTCTCATGTAGTCAACCACGGTTTGAGTGCTGGACCCGGCAGCTTAAACTCACTCCGCGCGCGTGTGCGTGCATGCCCAAGATCCTGAGAGGAGAATGGAAGAGAAGGAATTGCAGCATGGCCATTCCCCCTGGGGGGTGATTTCTCACTTTCTGTCTCTCCGTCTCTCTGTCTTTCTGGCGAGCGCACGCGCCCTATAACAAAAATCCTCTCCAAAAAAAGAAAATAAAAATATTATTGGTTTACTAGATATTATTCGCATCAGATGGACTCATACATCTTAAAAGCAGAATCTTAGTTCAGCTTTCCCCATATCATTAGCCAAAATCATTTTTAGTAACAGTTATTCTAAATAATTTTACATAGCCAGATGCTGTCCTGATAGTTGCTAAGGAAATTCAGTTGACCTAAAAATGAATAAAAAAAAAATGTTTACCAGAGGGTATGCATGCTTGCTAGAAAGACAGGAAGTGTGGGGAGAGTGAAAAAATACCCACTGGGAGGCATGGCCAGGCTGTAGTCCCTTCTCCATTCTCCTCTTGGGATCCTGGGCACACCACACACATCCCCAATGTGTTTCTCAAGGTTCAGGTTCTAGACTCAAACCACAGAGGGGGCCACGTATTACAGTGTCCAGCTGCCTCAACCAACATGCCAATGGCTGACTTTTAAACTTCCTTGAACTTAGAATGTTGATAGGAAAAGAGAGTTGGACCAGAAGACCACCTAGGACTCTTCTAGCATATTATGCTTCTCATTGCCAACAATTCTCAGACATACCATTTTAATGCTGTCAAAATAGTTGAATTTATTTTTAATCATTTTGTTTGTAATTCATACTGTTTCTACTTTCAAGACTCTGCTTTTACATGGAAACATCATCACTTCTCTTAGAATGGCCCCTGCTTATCTACCCAGAAGTCTGGCTATACTTTCTTTGGCAGAAAATGAAATCCGGGACTTAAATGAGGTAAAATTTGAGGGTATTCTATGGGATACAGGAAACTGGAAAGTCCAGACGAGACACAGTGGTTTGTGAGCTCACTTTTGGACTGTGAGCATCTTGGAAGAAACTAGCATCAAGATGAAACTCTTGGCTCTAGATAACCTTTACTTTTGTTTCTTTTTTTTTTTTTTTTTGAGAGATTTTTTGCTATAGGGTGTGTATGCTCTCTGGAGAGACAGAGAGATAGACAATAAGTAAGAAGTCATCCCCCAGGGGGAATGACCATGTCGCAGTCCCTCCTCCTTCATTCCTCTCTTAGAATTTTGGGCCACGCATAAGTGCCTGGCTTGAGTTTTAGTCCACCAGGTCTGGGATTCTAATTGCAGTCAGTGTGGTTGTCCAGTGCTGTAACTACTACACCACCTGATGGCCCCTCTGCTTTTTCTTAATGTCAGTGGGCCATTAATTTAATTTGTAATGTTGCACTTATTTGTTTGGGAGGTGACTGATGATAGAGGGACATCAGTATTGTAGGAGTTGATAAGGCACCCTGTGAGCTTCCCCTGGCTACTATTATGTTTTTCAAGGAGGATTCTCTCTGCTAGGAAGCAGTGCTCAGACTTTCTAAGGGACTTTGTACAGCAGGAACAGAGAGCTATATTGTTGGAATTTTGGAAGTCAGCGGGAAATATTACTTGTCATTTTTAGAACAAGAGAGAAATTGTTATGTTCTTAAATGCTGCCAAAGATGTGTAATCATCGGAAGCCCTGAGCTTGACATTGAATAAGCCATTTTCTTCAACAAAGATATCCTTTGTTCCAGATCTCTTTTTTGGCATCCTTAACTGAGTTGGAACAATTGTCGATCATGAACAATCCTTGTGTGATGGCAACACCTTCCATTCCAGGGTTCGACTATCGGCCATACATCGTCAGTTGGTGCTTAAACCTCAGAGTCCTAGATGGATACGTGATTTCTCAGAAGGAAAGGTGAACATAATCTCTCGCCATCACATTAATCATGGAACTTATGGAAATGACCATTTCTAATTTATCACAGATTAATAAAGTGAATGTTTCTTAAAATGTGCATTTAGAAATAAAGAGCATTATGTAATGAAATAGCAGACTATGGGACCAGCAGTTAGCATAATGGCTATGTCGCTGGACTCCCACATAGTTGACTGCGGTTCGTGTCCCGGACCCAGTGGCTTAAAACTCACGCCGGGCGTGTGTGTGTACGTGCCCAAGATCCTGAGAGGAGAATGGAGGAGAAGGGATTGTAGTGTGGCCATGCCCCCTGGGGGGTAATTTCTCGCTTTCTGTCTCTCTGTCTCTCTCTGTCTGTCTGGTGAGCACACGCGCCCTATAGCAAAAACCTCTCCAAAAAAAAAAAAAAAAGAAGAAGAAATAGCAGACTATGTATTGGTAGTTTAGAATTTTCTGTCCTTTCTTTAAAAATAGATAGGAAATAAATATTAGTCTCTGAGATTGGGGTTAGTAAGTCTAACTTAATGCCCAACCTACAACAGTTTGGTTTTAAAACTTCCTTTGTTAATCAATTAGAAACTTTTACATAGAAACCAGATAGATGTTGTATAGGAACTCGATTTAATCCAACAAAAGCTTGTAATCCATTATATTGAAAGGGCAGTATTGATAATTTCGTATTGATTTAATCTAACAAAAACTTGTAATCCATTATATTGAAAGGGCAGTATTGATAATTTCGTATTGATTTAATCTAACAAAAAAATGGTTAGGTTGCAGGACTCCCACGTAGTTGACTGTGGTTTGAGTCCCGGACCTAGTGACTTAAAACTCACACTGGGTGTGTATGCGTGGATGCCCAAGATCCCAAGAGGAGAATGAAAGAGACAGGATTGCAGCGTGGCCAACCCCCGGGGGAATGATTTTTCACTTTCTGTCTCTCCGGCGAGTGCACAGACCCTATAGCAAAAATCTTTCTTAAAACACACAAACATACACACACACACACACACACACACACACATATATATATGTGTATATATATGTGTGTGTGTGTGTGTGTATATATATATATATGTGTGTGTGTATATATATATATATGGGTGTGTGTGTGTGTTTTACGAGATTTATATATATA